TGTAATGATGCTAAATTTTGTTAAATGACTAAATTTTCAGCCCAAAATACCTGACAGGGTGTGTCTAGAATCCGAAACGTTTAAAAAAAAAAAATACAACCTCCTGCTAAAATGTTCACACGTCCTGAACTTGAAGTAACTGATTTGACTTCAGTGGGATGTCTGATACAATTCGAGTTAAGCACATATCTATGCAATTTGCCACTCCGGGGCCTTATCCTGAAAAAGGATTAGCAAAAAGTGCTGGCTGTATGTTTTTCCAATACAAAATTTTACTTAGCCTGGTATTCAAAGGGGCTGGGCCTTTAGTGAGAGCTCACCCTCTCTGAAAATCACACCATGCAGCGTGCAGCTTTGGCACTTCCCTTTCTCTCTGTTGAGCTCTAACTCATTTAACCTAGAGTTCTGTAGATAACGGCAAAGGTCAGCGTTTCTCAAGCATGAAAATTATACATCAGTTGTTTTTGTTTTATAGCACTCGCTAGGACACGTGACTTAACTTCATCTTCTCTCCATCTAATTGCAGAATGGAACGCTACCCAGGCTCTGAATAGCTTTTTGACAGGTGAAGGCAATCAGCTCTCGCTTCTTGCAAGTAAAAGCTCATTAAAGAAGAGTTAATTTTCCTCTGTTTTAAACACTTACATAATCTTTAACATTTAATATGATACGGGTAAGCAGAACGGGGGAGATGCTTCTGTGTGGCTCTACCCAGCCAGCCTATTAACTGGTCATTTTAATTTGATAGCAAAGCCTCAGATAGCAGGTCCAGAAAGCCCTTCCTCCTTCTGACTGACACTGGATCCACCATCCCTTATACACTAGCCCAGAACCTCTGAAGTGCTGAGCGGTGTAGCTAGACAAATGCAGCAGCAGTGGTCAGAAGACTGAATGGACAAAGGCTTTTGGAAATTATACTGGGCCTGAATCTCATTTATACTTAAGGCCCCTTTACCCTTCCAGAGCTCTTCCTTGAAGTAGCAGCATGGTGTAAAATAGCCTTTGGGTAACTGGGAATCTGGCCCAATATTTTATTTTAAGTGAAAGAAATTGGTTAAATACAAAGATGACAAAGGAAGTGGACAGATTATGGGCCCGATCCTAGAGGCTTTCCTCATTATATGAGCCTACCAAAATCAAGTGTTCTCAGGGCTGCACAATTGGGCCTTTCTTTAGTAGCGCCAGCCTGCTCTCCAGGCGAACTGTTCCTGGGTAAGTTAGTGTCTGTTTATCAATTATGTACAAAGGGCCACGCACACACAATTGCCAGGTTTACTTCACTGACTGGTGAGGGTCTGCAAAATCAGGGTCAGAGCTGCAAGAGGGTATGTACACATGAACGCTCACACACACATTGTCTGAAAGCTACTGTCAGTTTGCAGAGAGAGGTTTGAAGTAAGTGCACACAAGGGCACAGATACAATGAAGAATGTTAGTGTAACAGATTTGCTGTGTAAACCAAGCCATTTAAAGGTGTATTTGTTTTCTGGGTGCTTATCTGGCTTTCATCCCGGTAGCACTACCAGAGCTTTTGTAAATAAGTTAATCTTCTGCAATATGCACTTTGTTTTCCATATCTTTGGTATTAATTATTAAGGATCCAAACACTGAATCTTTTATTAAATTTCACACATGTTTCTCTAATAAGTTGTTGAGCCCAATGTAGGGGTAACCCCTGCTGAAATTTAATGGCCTATGACATACAGAACATCTGACTACATGATCTAATGCTCCCTTCTGGCTCTAAATACTATGAATCTATGAGTGCGCTTGATTTGAAAAAAAAATGCAAGATACTGCGTGTTTATTAATATAAACTGGTGGCTTTCTAGGTAAAAATCTGATAAGGTAATAAGTCAGATCTCTTAATTTTGATCTCCATAAACCTCATTCTCCTGACCCAGAGGTGTTACACAAGGGTAACCACTGCCAACAACAAAATTAATGCTAGTTTCCACTAAGTGAGAGAAGAATAGGGTTCAACAGAGTTGCACCAATGTAAGATGTGTAAATGAAAGCAGAATTACATTCTAGATCTTTTGACCTTCCACTACACCCCAGAGTGTTTCTGGAGCAACAGGGGATTAGCTACATTCATTTAAAACTAACAATTTATTTCAAGTATTTAACCAGGAAAATCCCACAGATGAAGCCTCATTTTGTAGCAGATGCTCTCCAGGACCTAATTCCTTTTCCTTTTCTTGGTCTCCTTTCTTGAACCCATTGCACTAGTGTAACTAGGGCAAAAAGGACTGTGATGACTTTTGGTCTCCAATGAGTTCTTCAATCTACTTCATTCCCAAAGGATTAAAAATACCACCTTGTAAATCAAAGAAAGATCTGAGGGAAATTTCAACATCACAAGAGCTCTGTACATCCTCTCCTGGGCACTACTCTATCAAAAATATTATAGCTGCGCTAAAGGACAGACCCTTATGTCTATCAGCAGGAGTGACATCAAGAAGTTAAATAGCACCTAAGAACTCTAAGTAATACATAAAACTGTACCCAGCAAGTGCAGAAAGAAAGAATTGGCTCTGCGATACTTAGAGCCCCTGGATCTAATCCCTTCTTAGTGCTACATGACATCCATGCTGCTAGGAGTTTAAACTTTGACTCATTGCACTTAATCCACATAGTATTGCCGAAACTGTTGGATTACGTTCCTGGGCCAAATGCATCTCCAGCAGACCTTACTGACTGCAACAAGGGGACAGTTGGAGTGGGTTTGGCTCTTATTATACTTACATACAGCATAGCTCAATGGGGCCCTGACCTCAGCTGAGGTCTCGATCGTCCTCATCCCCACACTAGGCAGCCAGAGCTCAGGTACAAATGGGGAAAATAATTTAAGTAAATAGATAAAACATCCCAAGACAAAGTCGTTGCAACTGATATAAGCCATTGTTGTTAAGACAAAGATGTAGGTGTTGCCTTCCCATGTTGGCATTATTTCACTGGGGTATAAGTGGTCACAACTGTGTCTCTATCATCCTTGTTGGGATGCACAATTTCTCGATACCAGCCAAGAGGAAAGGGAGGCCAAAAAATAATAGGGAAATCAGTTTCACTCTTGAAGTAAGAAACCATGTAATCACATTCACAGAGATAGCACAGTAAGAGGAGTAAACTATTGCACCTTCCCCACTGAGCCAAACCCTCTGCACTTCAGAAATGCTGCTGTTTAGCAGAAACTGGCAAATAAAACTATGTGGAACAAATAAGGTTACTGGTTGGCCTAATGCTATATTTAGTGTGAGATGCTTTTTCCTATGCAGCACAAAATTTACCCCCTTTAAAATGTTACTCCCATTTTAAAGAACTGAAAGATGAAAGAAAAACGGTTAAAAAAAAAAGCCCTGCCCCAAAATAAAAGCACTAAAAATAAAAAATCCGCTGAAAAACCCATGAGGCAGTGTTTGTCCTTCATTGACTATAAATTACAGTCCATTTAAACAAAATAATCAAGTGTCAAGCAAATCTCAGCTGCAGGAAAGTGTCAGAAAATTTCATGACATTTTAAAGAGACGGAAATGTCATCCAAATCTAAAAATGTTCCACTGATGCATAGACAGCTGTGCCATTTGGTTCAGAAAGTGATCAGATCAGTTCAGTTCTCAGGAAAAGAAAAATCCCATCTTGAATGGGCATTGCCTGCAAATGCTGTAAGTAATAGGGTGCTTCATATTTAAGCTTGCTTTTTAAGGACATATACACTGCTGCAGTTCTTATGCATTAAAATAACAGGACAGTGCATTTCAATTTAAAAGCTCTGTGATGACTCAAGTGGAGAAACGGAGGCTATTGCAGGATCTGCAATAGATGGAGGTTCACCTAGTTTGCTGATAGTCTATTTCTATCAGGTGAATATGCCAACCAATTATTTGTGTTTTATGGTATTGAACTATCCACTTTTCTCTTCTATAACTTAGCTGCTGTCTTAATGTACAGTACCAAGTGCATTGTGAAAAAAACGCCCCTTTTTTCCATCCAAATTTAAATGAGAAAGCCAATGCACGAGTCGTTTTCATACCCTAAGAACTATACAGCTTATGTTGAAATTGTACATTGCAAAAATTTTCAGCCAGCTGTAATTGAGGGCCGTGTACAGGGGCTGACAAGAGGAATGGAGAAGCCCAAAGAAGGTTTCCCACCTCTTTCTTCCCATATGCAGAGTCTTCCATTGACAGGCAAAATGCATGCGTTCTCCCCTTAAAGGACATAAGCATGAGATACTCTGGCCCACATACCGTCTCTGTGCTGGTAGCAGTGCGCCTGCAACCCTCCAAGGATACCAAATTTATGTCCACAGATATAAAGCAGATATCCATGGAGTTGCAGGACGCTAGCGACAACGAGCGAGACGAGCAGGGCCATGGCCAGTGACTAGGCCAGGAACTGCAGCAGCAAAAGCAGCAGCATGTCAGGCCACTGTTTGCAGGAGTCAGTGCCCAGCCCAGGCAGCTCCTCCGGCATGGCTGTACCGTCCCAGCCCTGCACACTGGGGCCGCCACCAGGCTCATTGGCAGCTGTCCCTGGTCGTGCTAATGCAGTAGTCGCCAGAGCCGGGAGTAGGACTGCAATTCCGGGAGCGGGGGACAGAGTTAAGGGGGCCAAGGCTGAGGCGGGGCTAGGAGCAAGGCCCGGGCACAGGGCCAGGAGCTGGGACCCCAGGCCTGGGGTCGGTAGCAGAGTGAGGTGCCAGCAACCGCACACACCCCTGAACATTCCTCTAGGCCCTCCCAAGGGGACGTGCCCCACAGTGTGGGGACCTCTGTGCTAATGTGTACAAGAGGCTTGCACGCTCCCAGACAGGAGTCCCTTCCATGCAGCGGTGTGCCTCCCCTGTCCAGGAGCGTGCGAGCCACCTGTGGTGGGAGAGCCATGCTTGTGTCATTTATTTGCTCAGTGCTCGGGTAATCTTGAATTATTGTGTTACAGAAAGTGGAGAGGAAAAAAATAGAAGCTCCGTAGTGGAAAAGCACTGATACGCAGCTCACCTTAACTTCAATGAAGTCTGGTTTACCAAGGGACACCAGCTCAGCATAAGCTTTGAGTTCATCCACGTTCCAAGCTTTCACCAGTGTCAGTCTATACACTGTGCGCTGTTGCTGAAATAGAGGAAAACTCAGTTCAGTGACACTTGCTTTGTACTCCACTTAATGAGCCGTTGATGTTTCCTACTTTCTAATTCACAGTCTTCAAACTTTCACCAAAAAAAGCATTTTATTGTAGAGTTATAGTTCCAAGTACTTGTGGTGAGGGGGGGAACTGCAGGCATTTAGATAATAAAGTGAATAACCCATGCTACGTGAACGAACTTTTGATCTAGAATGACTGCATCTAACACTCTCTCTCCATATACAATTACATATGGGAGTATTTACTTATCAGGACTTGGTTCCAGCAGGAATCAAGAAAGTTTCTCCCCCTTGGTATGACATTTCACCATTAGTTGCAATATGGATATTTTACTTCATCAAGATGAATCATGTGACACTGCCAGTAATGGAGACGAGCAACTAGATTAGAGGGAGCCTTCATCGGTCCGGGTCTGACAGTTGCTATGGTACGCTACATGCACTGTAGCTGTGGAAAAAGCTCCCTTGTGACAAGTAATGCATTTTATTGGAAACAAAAGTGACAATTAAAATTACTACCAAAAAATGTGTGTCCCATTCACGACCTAATCCATAAAGACTGTGCTATAAACCGTTAAAAAAAGTGTGCATTATTTGCAATGCTATTAAATAAACCAACATCAATCCATCAGCAGCTCTGAATCTCATCAACACATCACCACCACTACTGCTTGGTTTCTACCTGCTCTCCACAAAATCTCTCTCCACAAAGCTGTTCTCTTCAAAAACTGCTTTATCGAAGCACTAGGATTTCTCCTTACACTAGCCTATTTCCTAGGATGTCCACAGTAAACATGTTCATGCATAATACTGGCCCTGTGCGTCTCTTAAGAATAAAGTGATTTTGTTCAGCAGCTTCACTCTTTATAGAGTCATAGATTTAAGGTCAGAAGGGACCATCATGATCATCTAGTCTGATCTCCTGCGTATTGCAAGCCACAGGACCTCACCCACCCACTCCTGCAATAGACCCCTAACCTCTGGCTGAGTTACTGATGTACTCAAATTGCGGTTTAAAGACTTCAACTTACAGAACCATTACACTGATTTAAACCTGCAAGTGCCCCATGCTACAGAGGAAGGTAAAAAAACTCCCCGAACCTCTACCAATCTGACCTGGCTGGGGGTGGGGGGGTGGGGGGGGAATTCCTTCCCAACCCCAAATATGGCAATCCATCAGTTAAGACCCTGAGCATGTAGGCAAGACCCACCACACAGACACCTGGGAAAGAATTCTCTGTAGTAACTCAGAGCCCTCCCCAATTAGTGTCCTATCACCAGACATTGGAGATATTTGCTGCTAGTAGTCGCCGATGGGTCACATGTCATTGTAGACAGTCCCATCAGACCATCCCCTCCATAAACTTATCCAGTTCAGTCTAGAAGCCAGTTAGGTTTTTTACCCTCACTGCTCCCCTTGGAAGGCTGGTCCAGCGCTTCACTCCTCTGATGGTAAGAAACCATCTGCATCTTAGGATTACATTAGCCTTTTTTCACGGCCATATTACATTGATGGCTCATCCTGCGATCAACCAATACACCCAGGTCTTTCTCCTCCTCCGTCACTTCCAACTGATACTTCCTCAGCTTGTAGCAAAAATTCTTCTTGCTAGTCCCTTTCTTAGGGCAAGTTTGCTCAAGCAGATACTAGCAACAACCTTTCTGTAAGTAGGAAGCCACTTAACTATGGGATAAGGTGATGCTCTAGTTTTATTTTTTGAGAAAGCTCATTTGCCCCCTTATTCCCCCAGCTCCTTCATCTTTCACTATATTCCAAACAGAAGCTGGTAGAATAAAACATTATTTATAGAGTAATTTTCCAGCAAAATTGTTTTTTCAATTAACTCATTTTACATCCTTGGCAGAGAGTACATTGTAAAATGTTTCAACAGTACCAGCTTACTTCGAAAAGATAATGTAACAAATCCATGGCAACCAAAGACTTCACGGTTGTCAGTACATTGCATACCACGGCCAGAAATTCACAGCAACAGCAGGGAGAAAAATCAAATATTTCTGGAGCAGAAGAATCAGGCCTTCACTACTTGAGTTAGAAGAGATTCTCCGCTAGCTGTCAGCATTACAGGGCCTAGGGCAGAATTTCATAAGCCATTCTAATTCCATTCAGTATAGCAAAAAGAAAAGGAGTACTTGTGGCACCTTAGAGACTAACCAATTTATTTCAGCATGAGCTTTCGTGAGCTACAGCTCACTTCATCAGATGTTTACCGTGGAAACTGCAGCAGTCTGCTGCAGTTTCCACGGTAAACATCTGATGAAGTGAGCTGTAGCTCACGAAAGCTCATGCTGAAATAAATTGGTTAGTCTCTAAGGTGCCACAAGTACTCCTTTTCTTTTTGCGAATACAGACTAACACGGCTGTTCCTCTGAAACCTGTCATTCAGTATAGGTGAGTTGTACACATACACACTAACCAGTTTATTACAAAATATACTAAATATTTCCTCACTCCAGAAGTATATGCTAATAATGATACCTAGCTCTTATATTATATTCACAATAATAATGATACCTGGAGATTTGATATAGAACTTTTCATTAGTAGATCTCAATAGGCTGCACAAAGGAGGTCAGTACTGTATCATTATCCACCTTTTAAAGATAGGGAAACAGGCAGAGGGAAGGGAAGTGACTTGCCCACAGGGTGGATTTGATTTAAATCACTAGTCAGGAAGACTCGATTTAATCATGGTTTTCTACATAAAAGTGCATTCTTGTTGGTTGTTATAACTTTAATACATATTCTTCACAACTCAGAGATAGATGTAGGTTTCATTTTTAGAAGGTACACACTATACATTTTTAAACAGTGATTTATTTTGAAAACTTTTCAGATTAGTTTTACAGCTATATCAGAAAATGGATGATTGTTTGATTAGTTCATTTACCAAAAGTAATTAAAGCAGATATTTATGAAGTCATTGGGAGGGGAACTATCTCCAATTCAACAGGTTAATCATTAATATTTGGAGGATTTTCTTGCCATGCTGTATTAGGAGGAGATCACCACCAGACAGACATTTAAATTGTTTTATTTAACTAAAACAACAATGTTAATTATTCTGGATTTTTTTCTTCAACAGCATACATAATATTTTAACAAAACAAGCATATGTCCCTCGCTTCTCACATTTATCTCCAAACTTCTTCTCCTTGTCCAGATCTATTCCGCCCCCAACAATCTTCTATTCATTGAACTTTTTGAAACTTTGCACTTTTAGAGAGAGGTAAGGGATTGACTCTGTGTACACAAAATTGCAGAGGGACAATAGAGTTGAGGTCTGTTATTTCTCACCTCTATATATTTATTTATTTAAAAACATTTTTGCTGTTAACAAGCATGTTACCTCTGGAGACTACAAATCCACAGTTTGAGAACTGCAAAACTAAGCATCTCTGATGGTATCTTTAGACTGAGCACTGAGTCCCATTGGGTAGACCAAAATAATCTATACAGAAGCCTGTGGAACCCCATAAAATTGGGTCCCTAATCCATGAACTAATGGAACTCATTTACAAAACTTTTCTTAAACATTACATGAATATATTGTCTCATACTACAGAATTAGAATTTATAATCCCTATTCCATGATGAGATATCTTTGAGCTATAGTGTATCATAATTAAAACTATCTTTAGGTAGGTTTTTTCCTAAAAAGTATTTTATCAAAAAAATCCGATTTAAATTAAAAAAATCCAATTTTTTAAATTTTTTTTTTAAAAATCATTGATTTTTATCCACCCTGCTTGACCAAAATCACCCATTAGGTCAGTGGCAGAGCCAGGAATAAAACCCAGGGCTCCTAAGTCCCAGCATGGTGCTCTATCCACTAGGCAACACTGCCTGCTGATAGCCAAATGGTTTCAAGTACCATTCCCAACTCCCAGGAACATCACACTTCCTCAGGTCTGTATACGTCTAGTTTCCATATAACATCGTTTTCCACCTGATTTTTATGAAACTTTCACCTTTAAGTAAACTAAAATATTTAGTTACAATCTACAGCATATAAAAATCTATAGTGTTTATACCTATATAGATATAAATCTAGAATCCATTTTGGATCACTTACTAACAAAGGACTAGCAGACAAAACCAGACTGGGTGCCACTGCCTGAAAACAAAGGTTGAAGACTCACTGCTCCTTTAGTTAATATTTCAAAGCATCTTGGGCCAGGTTTTTAAAAGGTATTTAAGTGCCTAAAGATGCAGATAGGCACCTACCTGCAGCTGTAGGCACCTTAAAAATCCAGCCCTTTGTGCCTTAGCGTTTCTGCCCATTATGGGCAAAAAAGCCTCAGCATGTCATGGTGGTATACAAGGAAAAAGGGTAAAATTTTCAAGAGCGCCTAAAGTAACTTGGGCCCAAATCCTCCAAGGTATCTAGGCCCCTAGCTCCCATTGAAATCAAAGGCAGTTATGGGCCTAGAGACCTTTGAGGAGCTGGGTCTTAGCAGCCTAATTACTGTTCACTTTCAATCAGACTAGGGCTTGGCTACACTTGCGAGTTACAGCACAATAAAGGAGCCGAGGGCGCACTAGCTCACTACCCATCCACACTGGCAAGGCACGTAGAGCACACTGACTCCGCAGCTACAGCGCTGCTGGTACTCCACCTCGGCAAGTGGAATAACGTTTGCTGTGCCCCCGCTGGAGCGCTGCGGCGCCAGTGTGAACAAGGTGTTGCTCTACTGCGCTCTGATCAGCCTCCAGAAACGTCCCATAATCCCCTTAAGTCAAGTGGCCACTCTTCTCATTGTTGTGAAATCGGCTGCAGAAATGCGGAAATGCCCTTTCAAAGCTCTGTTTTGGAGAAGTCGGCTGCTTATCAGCTCCAAGAAAAAGCAAATATTTACTATTTGTTTGAGTGAATCAGAGAGAGGAGGGGGGTCTGAACTTACAAGACAGCATGCTGACGCACTCTCAGCACCCCAAAAACCCACTCTCT